TTATAATTCGTCGATGGTTTTGTACTTGCATATTTTGTTATATTTTAACATTTTATTTAATGAAATTATTTAAATTTAAATTTAAATAATTCTATTTATTTATTTATATTTATAGTAACATCTTATATAAAAAGTGATTAACGAAGATAAATCATAAATTATTACATTTGTGTAACCTTTATATCATTATTTAACATGCACATACACACTAGTCCCTTAATAATATTTATTCACTTAAGCTTAACTAAATTAAAAGCGTACTTCCTTAACGTCTTTACACACGCTAACCAGAACGTGCTGCTTCTTACAGTCCTATTTTAATATTCCTCTATATTTTCACATAACTGAAAATACTAAAACATCGCAATTAAATTGCAACCAACTTGAAACATTTTACTTTATAAACTATTTAACAATGTCATTCAACTATACTTAGTTTTTCATTCAATTTTCTTCAATATGATTATAATAGACACCTTGTATAACGTGATTAATACCTCATGCATTAATTTGAATCAACATTAAAGGAAATATTGTATTCTATGCTAATTTTTTTTTTTTTTCATATACCCAACATGATTTTCTGTAATTTTTTTTGTTTTTTTCTATAAAGAAACTTTACTATTAATTTGTGATAAAATATATTACATAGAAATATCGTTGTGTAAAATTCGGGATTTAATATCATTATAATTATTACACATATATAGATGTATGTTATAAAAATGTATTACTCGGATTTTTTATTATTTCATGTGATTTAATTAATGAATACATTTATTTTTGCATAAGAAAAATCTTTATATTTTTATCTCAAAGCATGTCTATACCATTATGAAAAAAACTAATTTTATAAAAACACGAATATTCCTCTCTCTCTCTCTCTCTCTCTCTCTCTCTTTCTCTTTCTCTCTCTCTCTCATCTCATCTCATTCCATTGCATTGTTTCGAACTTTTTTACTGGCTTTCAGTTAACCAAAATTAATAAAACATTTGTGTTCATCTTTTTTCGAGTTTTTTTTTTTTTTTTGCTTCCTCTATTTCAATGTTTTCAAAAAGAATAATATTTTCAACTATGAATAATTTTCAATCGCTCACAAACGACAGATCCACTGTACCTAACAATTTACAAGGCCGTCTGCATTACGAAAAATGAACGTAATACATCGCGAGACGTGCTCGTGAACGTCCATTCCCGTGAGAAGATTGCATTATGAGAAACAAGGGATGAAAAAAGGGATATAGAGGGGTATGGAGAAAAGGAAGAAGTGTAAAATGGCAAGAGAATAGCATCGCACACACACACATCACCGATGGTGGTTAACTAAAAAAGTCTATGATGTATGATAGCTCATAGCGATATCATAAACAAAACGGTTTCGTTCACCTAGATAATGTTGCTTTATTTTTTCCTTTTATTTCACTTCTATAATAATAATATTCCATCCTCTTATTAGTTAATATTCATTATTCCATGTCGGATCGATTTGTCATTCTCGTTCTCCTCTCATTTATCTCGCAGTTATTAAATTTATCAAATTGCACAAAGAATACTTGTAAATTGATAAGAGTAATTATCATTTGTCATGAAATAAACGAAAAAATAGAACGAAACAAACAAAAATGTTTCATATTTTCTAAAAAAAAAAAAAAAAAAACCCCCAACGAAAAACGATTTGGAAAGAAACTGTGTTGGGATGAAAAATCAAATTGTCAGAGGGAATACCTTAAATAGGTTGAACATATTTGTACGGCCAATAAACGGTTAAATTATACATTGTTAAACGCGTTGGACGGGGTTAAAGACGACGACAGGTGGTGGTGTGGTCTATTTTTGAAGATGCTTCCTTTCCTACGAAGACAATGCTTTTGAATAAAACATTCACACCGACAGGCATGTCCTTGAAGTAGTATATCCCCTCCCCCTTCCCCCACACCGCGCACCTTTTTCCTTTACATTTTTCTTGATTTTTCTCTGTCCTTTCTTTCTTTCTTTCTTTCTTAGTACTTTCAACATCTCCCATTTCTTTCCTTCTCGCATATTTTTACTTGTACATTTTACACTTGATGTCTCCTCTTCTTCTATCTCTTTACTCCTGGTTCAATTATCCGTATTCTCTCTCTCTCTCTCTCTCTCTCTCTCTCTCTATTTTTTTACTTTTATTTCTTCTTCATTGTTTTGTAAAAATATAAGAGGAAAGTTTGAAAATTATTTTGTAATTGATTTGACGTAGACCGTCAATATCGATACGCTAGATTAATCCCCCAGTAATATTGATAGTAAGAAAGAAGCATTAATAGATTATTGATCGATTAATAAGCAAGAAGAAATTCATTAATTTTCGAAGTTTATCTTGGTAGAAACTTTCTTACTTGCTTGTGTATTAATGTTATTAAATAAGTTTATACACAGTGTATGTATAACAGTAATATTATCTATCATTTCAAATCTCTACAAAGTTTTCTCATCAATTAAATATTAGGGAGAGAACCGTAAAGTAATGAAAATTGTTCTTTGCTAAAAAAAAAAAAAAAAAAAAA